GGATATCAGATTGCTAAAGTCTTTTACTGTGTCTATTGACTTCTTTTATATTCATCAAGATTTGCTTCATATATTTATGTGCTCATATGTTGGGTGCATAAATGTTTATAAGGGTTTATTGTCTTGTTGGATTTCTATTTCTATCATTAAGTAGTGACCTTCCATGTTTCTTATATAGCCTGTTTTAAAGTTTATTTTGTTAAATATAAGGATTGCTACTCCAGATTTTTAAAATTTCGATCTACATTAAAATTTTTTAAAAGCATTATTATAAGTGGTCTTAGCCAGATGATTGTGACTGTAAGTAGTTTGCAAAATGAATTTTTAACATTGTTAAAATATGGATACTACCCAAAGTAATCTATAGATTCAATGTAATCCTTATTAAAACACTGATAGCATATTTCACAGATCTAAAACAAATATTCCAAAAATTTATATGTAACCAAAAAGAATCCTAAATAGCCTCAGCATTATTAAGACAGAAAAACAAAGTTGGAGGGATCACAATACCAAATATCAAGTTATACTACAAAGGCATTATAATCAAAACAGCCTTGTACTGGCAAAAGAGAAGGCATATAGGTCAATGGAACAGAACAGATACCTCAGAAATTAACTCACATCAATACAGTCAATTAATATTTGACCAAGGAGGCAAGAGAATACAATGGAGAAAAGATAGTTTCTTCAATAAATGGTATTGGGAAAATTAGTCAGGTACATGCAAAAAAATGAAACTACTAGTAGGTCACTAACACCATACACAAGAATAAACTCAAAATGGATAACATACTTAAATGTAAGTTGTGAAACTATAAAAATCCTAGTAGAAAACATAGCTGATAAAATCTCAGACATCTCATGTAGCTGTTTTTACACCATTACATCTTCTAGGGCAGTGGTCGGCAAACTCATTGGTCAACAGAGCCAAATATCAAAACTAAAACAATTAAAATTTCTTTTGAGAGCCATAATAATGACATCATTTATTATTCTGATGTTATTATTATTGTTTGTATGGAATCAAAGAGGTGTCATAGGGCTATTTTGTATTTCTTTATTCTCAGGTCTCTCTCTTCTTCCATCTGCATCATTTATAGATTCCTATCTTCAATATCACTAGTTCTTTCCTCTAACTGGTTGGTTCTGTTTTCTATGCTCATCAGCTAACTTTTAATTTCTTTAATTGCCTGCTTCATTTCCAGAATTTCTGCTTGATTCTTTTTTAAAATTTCCATTTCTTTGGATAAATACTCATTTTGTTCATTGATTTGTTTTCTGAGTGAACTGAATTGCCGGTCAGTATTTTCTCATATCTCATTGAGTGGTTTCAGAACTGCAATATTGAAATCTCTATCATTCAAGTCATATACTTTCATGTGTTCCAGCCTGTTTTCTGGGGATTTTTTCCTTTTTTTTTTTCTTTTTTTTTTTTTTCTGGTCACAGTTGTTGTTGTGGTCGTTCATGGCATTTGCTGTTCTCTTTGTTTTCCTATTTATTTCTGAGGAGGCCTTTCTACTCTTTTCCAGTAGATTCCTCTGAATTGCAAGATTTTTATCTTCTGTGGCCTCACAGTTTTGAGCCTCTGCAGTTTCCATAGGGCTGTACCTCCTCTGTTGCTTGGGGGTGAAGTTTGTTTTTCCCTCACAGTAAAGGCACCCTCTGACCTCCAAGGGTCCTGCCTAAGCACTCCTCCTGGGGTTCAGTCACAGAGAAAAATGTGTTTCTACTGCAACAGCTCTTGGCCTACAGATAATACACTCCTATAGCCAACTCTGAAGGCAATGGGAAGTGAGATTTGGGAATCTAATCAGTGGCAGGGCTCTGCCATCTATTATCTTTGCCTGAAAGTCCACAGTCAGGCCCAGCCATGGGGAACAAACCTGTAGGGAGGGTGTCTTCTGACTCACAGCTCACACACACAACTCAGACCCCATTCACAATAGTCCCCATGATTCAGACCCTTTCTCACTGTTTGTGTGCATGACCACACAATGCCACAATTCCAGTGGCAACTCCAACAACTAGCCACTTGCTGGGTTAGCTCTCTGTTAGTCCTTACCAGCTGAGGAAAGTGCCAGTAACCGCTGCTGCTAGTTCTCAGCTGCTCTGCAGACATGCTGCTGTGCTGTAGCCATATTCAGCTACCTTCCTTTCTCCTGTCCCTGCTTATGCCAAAGAGCCCACTTTAGTTGTTCCAGTGTGCAGGTTTCTCAGGCTTGCATCTGTGTTGAGCAGGGACTTCTTTGTTGAATTACATGCGATTATTTTATTAAAATGTCAGGGGGAGAGGCTAGATGTGCCCTTATGTGCCATTCCTCTGACATTACTCTAAAAGGTTAGTTTTCAAAATATAGAAAGAACTCATAAAACTGAACACCAGGGAGATAATCCAATATAAAATGGGTAAAGGAGCTCAATAGACATTTCTCCAAAAAGGATGTGCAGATGGCCAAGAGAAATATGAAAAATTAATCAATGTCACTAATCATCAGAGAGATGCAAATTAAAACTGAAATGAGGTATTACCTTACACTTGTCAAAATGGTTACCATCAATAAATCAATGACAAGTGCTGGTAAGTATGTGAAGATGAAAGAACCCTAGTGCATTGCTGGTGGGAATGCAGACTGGTGCAGCCATTGTGTAAAACAGTGTGGAGTTTCCTCAAAGATTAAAAGTGGGACTGTTATTTGACTTATCAATCCCACTTCTGTGAATACACCCTAAGAAACCTGAATTACCAGTCAGAAAGAATATCTGCAGTCCTATCTTCATAGCACTGTTATTCATAATAGCTAAGATCTGATAACAGCCCAATTGCCCATCTGTAGAAGAGTAGATAAAAAATACCATGATACATTTACACAATGGAATACCATTCAGCATTAAAAAGGAAGAAACTCTTACCCTTTATGGCAACATGGGTGGACCTGGAGATTATTAGCAGAGAAAGCCATTTAGAGAAAGAGAAATATCACATAATTTCATTTATAGGTGGAATCTAATGAACAAAATAAATTGATGAACTAAAAAAGGTCCAGAGGCATGAATGCATGGAATGGAAGGAGTGATCTCAGTTGGAAAGGGGAATGGAAGAGATTAACCAAAGCGGGGCAGGGGAATATATATATATTTTTTTCAATAAAAAATACATTTTTCAATAAAATATATATTTCAATAAAATATATATATTTTTCTTTATGTATATATGCCTAGTAATAATTAATGTCGTTTTCTAATACTTTTTTAAATCGAATTTATTTAAACAATACAACAAAATTTAATCAACAATATAGTTGCCGTTGTTTTCTACTACTTGTGCCCAATGCTCAGGAAGCATTTTAATCCCTCTGTTGTAAAATTCTTGTGATTTTGATGCAAAAAATTTGGTCAATGCATTTTTGAGGCATTCTTCATTATTAAATTTTTTTCCAAGAAGAAAGTTTTGCAAAGAACGAAACAAATGGTAATCGGAAGGGGCAATATCAGGAGAATATGCAGGTTGAGGGAGAACTTCCCATTCCAACTGGCGCAGTTTTTCAGCAGTGATTCTTGCAGTATGCGGTCGTGCGTTATCGTGGTGAAGAATTACATACGCCCTTCCGATTAATCAGCGCGGGTCCTTTTTTTCTTAAAGCTTGGGCTAACCTTTCCAATTGGGCACGATACACTGCACTTGCAATGGTTTGGTTAGAATTAGATGGTAAAAGTTCATAATGAAGAATTCCTTTAAAATTCCACCAAACACACAACATCACTTTTTTTTGCATGCAAGTCAGGTTTTGGCGTGGGCTGCGGAGCCTCATTTTTGTCCAACCATTGAGGCCGCCTTTTCAAATTACCATACAGCACCCATTTTTCATCTCTGGTAACAATTTGCTCTAAAAACGGCAAACGGTTTTGACGAGAGAGGAGCGAACTGCAAATTGTGACTCTTTGATTACGGTTGTTTTTGGTCAACTCATGAGGAACCATTTTCCAAACTTTTGGACTTTGCCAAGTGCACGCAATTGATTGGAAATTGTTTTTTTGTGAACAATTTAAAGTTGTCGCAAGCTCTTGTTGGGTAATTTGAGGATTTTGCACCAAAAGAGCTTGAAGAGCTTCTTGATCAAAATTAGACACACGGCCTCGACCACTCTTGTCATCTAACGAAAAATTTCCCTCACGAAATTTCTCAAACCAACACTGGCATTTTCTGGCGCTAACTGCATCTTGACCAAGAGCACTACAGATGTTTTTTGCAGCCTCATTTGCTTTTCTTCCTAATTGGAACTCGTAAAGCATGCAGTGCAGAATATGCTCTTCATCTGCCATCTTCTTAGCCCTAGTTTTGCAACAAAAACCAAACCAAACACAAACTTTTTCAAGCAAAACTTGTTAATTGCACTTCACACGTTCTGAAGATACCACGTGTTTGAAGGTTATGTCAATACAAGTCAACGCCAAGCAAGATTTTAAACGAATGTTTAAAAACGACATTAATTATTACTAGACCCGATATATATATATATTTCCCCCTCCCCATGGATAGTGTAGGGAAAGCCTGGTAGGAAGGGGCTGGGTGGAGTGTGGGAAAGTGGTGGAAATGGGGGACATCTGTAATACTGACAACAATAAATAAACAAGTAAATAAATATATCCTCCACAAAGGGATTGAATATATCTGTTTCTGGACTGAACAAAGTTTTGCTACTGAAGATAAATAATTAACATGAAGATTCTTCATGGCTCAAGTCCCTGTCTAAATGATCTATCATGATAATCAATGACTGTATTTATTAATCTACTGAATGATAAATGCAAAAAAAGGAAAATATACTTCCTATCTTAAAAAATCATATAATCTGGGTGTGCTAAAAACAACCTTTTTAATCATGCAGAGTAGAAGAAATTTTGTGAATCTGCGAACATTTGCAGTGTTGTTTGCTTATTTGTTTTGTGAAATTGTTGACCTGAGTGTTTCTCTCATTTCTTCTCCTGCCCATTCCAGGTTATATAACTCAAAAGGAGGCCTTGGCTTGTGCTGCTGTACTTAGAGATTCAACCCAGAAAGCCTCGGCCAAGGGAGCTCCTCATAGAACCATCTCCAGAAGGGCTTCAATCATGACAAGAACATGGTTGTCAACACTCCCTGTGTCTGTGGTTCCACCCAGGACCAAAAGCGCAGGGCTCTGATCCTTTGGGAACCATGACTTCACAAAGCTGTAATAGGCTGTTTGCTCATACCAGGGTTGGTATCTAGTGAGTGCTTAGTGTATATTTGTTAAATGAGCATAAAAAAACTTGTAATACAAAACCACAAATAAAAATAACCTTTCTCCCATGCACATAAATTTTACCAGCAAGAAAAAGTTGAGAGGTTTAATGGAACTAAGAGTAAATAAGCCTTTCTCTCCACATATATTTTATAGAGTAAAATGACTTTTGAAACTTTCAAAGTGAAAGCTTCTTTTGAACTGGAACCTCCCAGAGAAGTCCCAAGAACAGTGAAAGGGGAAAAATCAACAGAGGGTGTCAGATCTCCTATCATTGGGTGACCAGTCCTGAAAACTATCCACTGCAGATACCAAAAAATACCCAAACACTGCATTAGTACTGAGCATGCAGGACTTCCGAAGCCATATCTTCACAGCCACAACTGGACTGTGCATTTCCATATCTCTCTTCCTCTCTTCTATCCCATCAAGCAACAGCAATCAACTTGGCCCCAAATCTTCTGGATATTGTCTGACTCAAAAATCCCTTAGAGTTATCTTAAAACTTAGACTTACCAACCTGCTACATCTGGGTTCATTCTATATGCTGTAATTGACCTTTGCATGATTAAGAGAATCTAGGCACACATCTCCCATACAAATCAAGATACACTCATTCAGAAAAAAGTATAGCTTCAAAAGACAAATTTTATTTCTAATTTTTCCACAGCCTTGATGGTTTTAAATAAAACACATAAGTCTATACAAACAAGCAAAAAAATGAGATAACAGCTGGTTCTTTGAAAAAATAAACAAAACCAACACACCCTTAAGCAGACTCATTAAGAAAAAAAGAGGACCCAAATAAATAAATCAGAAATGAAAGAGAAGTAACAAATATTAGAAAATATTATGAACAACTATATGCCAACAAATTGGACAATGTGGATAAAATAGATAAATTCATAGAAACATACAAACTTCCAAAATTTACTCAGGAAGAATCACAAAACCTGAATAACTTTAAAAAATCAAAACAGTAATTTAAAAAAAGTCTTGGACTTCACAGGTAAATTTTTCTAAACATTTAAGAACTGATACCTATTCTTCACAAACTATTCCAAAAAGTCCAAGAAGAGGGAAGACTCCCAAATCGATTCTATGGAACCAGCATTATCCTAATTCCAAAACCACATAAAGACACCACAAAGAAAAAATTATAGGCCAATATATCTCATGAAGATAGATGCTAAAATCCTTAACAAAATATTAGCAAACCAGATCCAACAATACATGAAAATGATCAGATACCATGATCAAATGGGATTTATTCTAGAGAATCAAGAACAATTGCCACAAATCCATAATGTGATATGCCACTTAAACAAAATGAAAGATTAAAATAAATTGATCACATCAATAGATGCAGAAAAGCATTTTATAAAATCCTGTACCCATCTATGATAAAAATTCTCATCAAAGTGGGTAGAGAGGGGACGTACCTCAACATAATAAAGGCCATATATGACAAACCCACAGCCAATATCATATTCAATGGGCAAAATCTAAAATTGTTTCCCTTAATATCTGGAATAGACAAGGGTATCTGCTTTCACCAATCCTATTATACACTAGAGGCCCGGTGCACGAAATTTGTGCATGGGGCTGGGGGGTGCTGTCCCTCAGCCCAGTCTGCACTCTCCCCAATTTGGGACCACTCAAGGGATGTCCCACTGTCCTTTAGACCCAATCCACTGGGATCGGGCCTAAACTGGCAGTCGGACATCCCTCTCTCAATCCAGGACTGCTAACTTACAACTGCTTGCCTGCCTGCCTTCCTGATTGCCCCTAACCGCTTCTGCCTGCCAGCCTGATCACCTCATAACCACTCCCCTGCCAGCCTGATTGATGCCTAACTGCCCACTTATGATTCTGAGCTGCATCCCTGAATCCTAAATCTCAGAAGCAACTTCTTTCTGATAGAAGATTTAAAAGCTAATTGGCAGGTGAATGTCACAAGCCCATAGAAGCACAAATAGATCTAAGTTGGCCCAGAAAGTTCCACCTGTTGACTCTCCCATCAGAAAAGATAACACCCTTCCTCTTAAGCCCCAGACCAAAGCTTATAAAGAATATGAATGATTATGGTACCGAAAGAAAGATGCTCACGTGCGAGGACTCTGAGAAAGATGACCAACGGGGAACCAAAGATAGCCTGTTACTTTTAGGAAAATCTACTACTTTGATCTATTGGAGACTATATAGTTTGCTTTCACAATGTCAATAGACATCATCAAAAAGTTCTTGAGATCAGTATCATTTTACTTAAAATTACTAGAACCTGGAATAGTGTCTGGACTGTGGTAGTTAATCAATAAAACTGGATGAATAATATTGAAATGTTCAAAGACTGCAATTCAGACTGTCATCTGAGTTTGTGATATTATTCCAGGGTTCCAGGAAGTCACAGCTACTGATAAAAACTACCAGTAATTTATCAAGAACAGGTGACAGGAGAAGTCCATCTCAGTTACAGACCATAGGGGTGTGTTGTCTGTCAAGAATTTTAAAACAATAATAAAGCTAAAATTTGGTCTTCTTTCTGTCATCTCCATAAGCCAGCAATAATTCTAAATGATATCAGTGATAAAAAATTCCTTTCTCAAAAATATTTTGTTGGTCAAAGTTCTAAATAAATGCAGAGGTTACTATTGAATTTTACTAGTCTATATGTAAACCATAAAGTAGTGATTGTCATTGATTTCCTTTTAATAATCATTTTGTTCTTTATGGAAAATAATTCTGGGAACTCCCAACCTACACAGTATCGGCTCACAGATCTCCAATCATTGTGGTACTATATATTCTTGCATTTAAACAAAAGATCTGAAATGAATAGTGTATATCATGATTAGAAAAACAAGAAGTAGAACTTTACTGCAATTCTTTATGTTATTTGGCCACTTAGCATTTTTATTTTTCATATAATTTTGTTGAGGCACAATTTATATGCAACAAATGTATTTAATTAAAGTTCAATGAGTCTTGTCAAATGTGTATAGTCACATCACCACCACCACAATCATGATATTGTTTCCATTATTCAAAAAATTTCTTTGTGTCCTTTTGTAGAAAAAATTTCTTCTCTCAGGGAAATCATTGATTTGCTTCCTATCACTATAGTTTTGCCTTTTCTAAAATTTTACATAATTGAAATAACATTATATAGTCTTTTGTGTCTTCTCTCATAACATATTGTGGTTCATCATGTTGCAAATACAGGGGGGGCAAAAATAAATTTATAGTTGATCATGTATAAAATAATAGAATAATTGATAGATATAAGAACAAATTCTGTTTTGCATACTTATAACTGTAAGCCTACTTTTGCTCCACCCTGTATGAGTAGTTTGTTCCTTTTCATTGCCAAGTAGCATTTCATTGTTTAGATATACCATAGTTTGCTTATCCACTCACTAACTGATGAACATTTGGATTGTCTAATTTTGGACTATTACTGATAAAACTGCTAGAAACATTTTTAAAAAATATATTTTATTAATTTTTGACAGAGAGGAAGGGAGAGGGATAGAGAGCAAGAACATCGATGAGAGAGAAACATCTACCAGCTGCCTCCTGCACGCCCCCTACTGGGGATGTGCTCACAACCAATGTACATGCCCTTGACCGGAATCAAACCTGGGACCTTCCAGTCCACAGACAGACGCTCTATCCCCTGAGCCAAACTGATTTTGCCGCTAGAAACATTTTAATGTAAGCTTTGTCTGAAGTTTTTATTTCTCTTAGATAGATACCTAGAAGTACAATTATTGACTCACATGATAGATTTAAGTTTAACTTTATAAGATAATGCTTTAGTGTTTTCCAAAGTTTTCACACCATTTTTTATTCCCACTAGCAATGTATAAGAGTTCTAGTTATTTCACATCCTTGCAATATCAGATATTTCTTCTCCATCCCCCCTTTTTTTTCCTTTGGTATTCTAGTGACTCTGGCTGTCACTATTAATTATAGTCACCTTATTTGGAAGCATGGAAAATTTCAGGGAAGGTGATCATGCTAAACATGAGGGTTGTGATGGCAATAATCTTAGAAATTTAGTAGAATTTTCAAAATTTAGTAATCAGTCTTGATAAAGGAACTGTCTAGTTTATTTTGTGGGGAGGAAGGATTTTTAAAGAGGTGAAGAAGAAAAGAAACAACGTCTGCAGGAAGAACCACCCCTGGACAGAGCTGTTATATGGGTTCAGTATGTCCTTAGTAACTTCTCATAACCAACAGGTAACCACCCCCCCCCAAAAAAAATCTCTATGTATTGTATTAGTTATCTATTGTTGCATAAAAAGTTCCTCTGAAACTTAATGACTTAAAACAATGTTGACTGTCTCACAATTTCTGTATCAGGAATCTGAGCATGGCTTAGCTGGGGCTTCTGACACAAGGTCTCTTATAGACCACAGTCAAAATATCAGCTTGATTATAGTGGTCTAATCTGTAGATTCAACTAGAAAAGAATCCATTTTCTAGCTCACTCTTGTGCTTGTTGGCTGAATTTAGTTCCTTGGGGACTATTGGACTAAGTATTCTTTGCCGTACTGGCTGTTGTCTGGTGACCATCTTCAGTTCCCTGTCACATAGGCATCTCAATAGGATGGGGATTTGCTTCAGCAAAGTTAGAAATCAAGAAAGATTGGTGGGGGGGGGGGAGAGGTGAAAGTTACAGCCTTTTATAACCTAATCTTGGAAATAATATCCATCATCTTTGCTATGTTCTACTCATTAGAAACAAGTCACTAGATCCAACTCACACACAAAAGTAGTGGTTTTCCCATGGGAATGAATAGCAGAAAGTGAGGATCATTTGAAGCCATTTAAGAAGCTATCTACCAAAGGCACAACTAAGGTAAGAAGAGTAAGGCCCCTAGGATGCAGAAGGGGAAAAAATACTCATTATTGCATGACTTTGAGAGTGAATGCAATGCAGTCCCTCCCTAGATACCTCATTCCTGCACTTTAGTCTTTGTCCTGCTATCTGCCATTAGCATCCAACCCCTATGCTGACTTCTAATCACCTTGTCCA